CGCGCGTGCGGATCCCAGGCCCCGCTCGGGCTCGCCGTCGCCTTCACGGCCCGTCCCGCAGCCCCAAGCCGCGGAAGCCCGAGCGGGAGAGAAACAAAAGGTATTTGCTGACGTGGGCGTTGGACAGAGACGCCCGAGGGCTGGGGACACAATTAAAGGGGCAACGCACCGATTGCAGGCGCAGCCCAGCAGCTTCCTCCGCCGGAGCTCGCCCCGCAGCCCGGCTGCTTTCCTCTTCCCACGCCCACATGCTCCCCACGAGGCCCGGAACATTATTTTCCGCAATAAATTGTTCTCGTTGGGCATCTCTCTGCAGGCCGTTGTACAAGCGGGAGAGAAGACTGGATTGCACAGATCCGGGGCCGCTGGCTTGGGGAATGGCACGCGTGCTTAGCCTTGTACTTGGGGGAGGTTTTCGACCAACGGGAGGGCAGGTGACAGCTGCAGAACGGACACTGGAAGTGTTTTGGTTTTGCTTCCCGTTTTTCTCTTCCACCCAAAAATAAATGAGAAGTTTGGCATGTGGCACGGGTGGAGCTGCCCTAGTAGCCCTGATCGTCAAATCACACCGCCGCCCGACAGGATGGAAGTGGGAGGGTGGACTCGGTTATTACCAGTCTTTTAAAAAAGATGAGAGCAGATGAGTGACTTAACGGTTTGCTTCTAAACCTTTCTTCCTCCCAACTTCTCGCTTCGGGTGTAAGAGGCTTCTTCTTTCATGTTGTTTCCCGTTCTAATTTTAAATCAACTTTGTAGTACTCCATGTTCAAAATAATAAGAAGAAACCCTGTTCCTTTGCATTTCAGAAGTTGCGACTGAGATGGCAAAAACTAAGTTGTAGTTCAGTTATGGGAGTTTTCTCATAAGATGAAGAAACAGCAATCTAAGATACGGTTCATAGACAAGCAACCCGGCATAAAAGACACTTGTTAATAATATACTGAGTTCTGGTATTGGAAGAAATGCATGTATGATATAGTGACCTAAACTTCTTAGTGGGAACAACGCATTGGTGGTGTGGGGAAATTTTACAAATGTAATTTAGTTGTCAGTAACATTTAGAAAACTCACATTTGTTCACTTGCTATAATTATAAGGAGGTGTTCCATCATTTCTGCACAAAATAACAAATGGGTGTGCACATGCTGTTACGGTAGCAATCTGGTATCTTCATCCACCTTTCCTGAGAGAGTCCACAAAAATACTGTGGGCAATCTCAGGCCATAGTATCTAATTGGTACCTGATTACCAATCGTCTCTGATAAAATCCCAATAATATTCTCTATCTACAGTGTGGAAAGTACTAAATTAATGTACTTCAAATCATTTTATAGATCATTTGATTAGAAGCAAGAAAAGGCATACAAAATGAACTTTTGGACACTCCAGGGTAAAATTAACTTTTACATTTCTTTCTTGTGTCAAATGGTCAGAAGACACAGATGCTAGCTCCAACTTCATGGAAGCCAAAACCATGCCCTATGTCAGTGTAGTTAGTGATGCAAGCAGTCCACTTAAAAATACAGGGTGGATTTCTAATATTTTTAACTACCCTATTTCATTGTAGCCAAAAGTAGTTTGAAAATACATTACATATTAACCACTATAGTGCTGACTGGCCTTACTTGCACTAGAAGAAAGAGGAGTTTTTTCAAGCAAGTCTGTTTAATCAAGTTGTTTTAGTTGGAATCCTCACTGAACACCACTGAAAACAATTCAAAAGTACTAGGCTTTGGCAGGCCCAATTAGATGTTAAAATGTTTTGGTACTGTTATGCTGGTGTTAGCAAATATTATCAAAGGGAGTGCAGGATCCATAAACAGTCATTTATCTTGTTAAAGCCCAAATATGTGACAAGCAGGCTTTCAACTTGATGGGAGAGCAAATCAGTCCCCTTTAAGTAGTAAAATAGGCTGAGGGATACTGGGAGGTTGCTTAAAGCCCTAGGCTATGTGGTAGTTCAAAGGTTAATCTGATTGCATATAGAGGTCGTGTGTTGTAGAAGTTGTGTGTTTTAGAGGCAGAAGGTTGGAATAAGTAATGAGTGTGACCCTGAGGAGAAGCAGAGGGATAGGGGTGCAGGAATGAACCATCCCAGTGCGCAGGGAGACTAGCAAGTATGGTAGAAGACCAGCTTGGCTTAGCAAAGAACTTCAGTGAGCTAAAACACAAAAACGAAGCTTACAAGAAGTAGAAACTGGACAAAAAAGTGAAGAGTATAAGAGCATCGCTTCAGCATGCGGGGATGAAATCAGGAAGGCCAAAGCATAATTACTAGGGCTGCGCGAAACGGCACCGTTCTGTTTCGACTTGAGTTTCGAGGTTTCCACGGAACAGCATTTTGTTTCAAATTTCATTTCGATTTGAAATAGCTGTTCCATTTTGCTTTGTGGAAATAGTGAGGCTGTATCGATGCTGTTTAGATGTTTTGCCCATTAGCTATAATGGGGAAGCTCAAAACAGCCTCTCTCATCTGGCAGGCAGATCGGGGCTGCGGTGGACTTCAAATCCCCAGCTCGATCTAGCAGGGGGGATGGGAAGTCAGCCCATCTGGGCTGACTTCCCACCCCCAACCCGATCGCAGCGCTTGGGAGGGGAACTGAGCGTGGGCTCAGTTCCCTTCCCCTGCACTATGATCGGCTTCCTGCAGCCTGGCGGCAGAAGACTGGGAGAGCCACAGCTGTGCTCCCAGCTGCTGCTGGGATGCAGCCCTGGTTCTCCCCTGTCTCCCACCACCTCGCTGCTGGCTGCTTCAAAACTTGAAACATTTTGAAACTTTTGAAATGTTTCGACTAGCCTCATTTTGTTTCAAGTCTGTTTCAAAGCTCTCTGTTTCGATTCGATTTCACTGTTTCGAGCTCAAAATGAGTCAAAACAGTGTCGAATCGAAACAGCTGGCGAAATTTCGCACAGCCCTAATAATTACAGTTGCAGCTAGCAAGGGACATGAAAGGTAACAAGAAGGGTTTCTACAAGTATGTCAGCAACAAAAGGAAGATCTGGGAAAGTGTGGGTCCCTTACTAAATGGGGGAAGCAATCTAGTGATAGATGATGTGGAAAAGGGTGAAGTACTCAGACTTCACAGGCAAGGTCACTTCCCAGACTACTGCAGCTGGCAGCATAGTTTGGGGAGAAAATGAGCAGTCAACAGTGGTGAAAGAACAGGTTAGGGACTATTTAGAAAAGCTGGACATATACAAGTCCATGGGGCTGGATACAGTGCACCTAAAGGTGCTGAGTTGGCTGATATGATTGCAGAGCCACTGGCCATCATCTTTGAAAACTCATGGTGATCTGAAAAGGTCCCAGATGATTGAAAAAGGGCAAACATAGTGCCCATGTTTAAAGGGAAGAAGGAGAAACTGCAGGCCCATCAACCTCACCTCAGTCCCTGGAAAAATCATGGAGCAGTTCCTCAAGGAATCCATTTCTAAGCACTTGGAGGGGAAGAAGGTGATTAGGAACAGTCAGCATGGATTCACCAAAGGCAAGTCATGCCTGACCAAACTGATTGCCTTCTCTGATGAGACAACTGGCTCTGTAGATGCAGGGAGAGCAGTGGATGTGGTATACCTTGACTTTAGCAAGGCTTTTGATATGGTCTCCCACAACATTCCTGCAAGCCAGCTAAGGAAGTATGAACTGGATGAATGGACTGTAAGGTGGATAGAAAACTGACTGGGTCATCAGGCTCAATGGCTCGATGTCTAGCTGGAAGCCGGTATCAAGTGAAGGGCCCCAGGGTCACTCTTGTTTTGTTCAATATCTTCATCAGTGACCTGGAAGATGGCATGGAGTGCACCCTCAGCAAGTTTACAGATGACACCAAGCTGTGGGGAAGTAGTAGATACACCAGAGAGTAAGGTTAGGATTCAAAATGACCTAGAGAAATTGGAGGATTGGACCAAAGAAATCTCATGAGGTTCAATAAGGACAAGTGCAAAGTCCTGCACTTAGGATGGAGCAATCCCATGCACCGGTGCAGGCTGAGGGCTGACTGACTGGGCAGCAGCTCTGCAGAAAAGGACCTGGTGGTGACAGTGGACAATAAGCTGAATATGAGCCAGCAGGGTGCACTCGTTGCCAAGGGGAACCTATACCTGTGACAAGAGCTCTGCTCTGACATGTGCTAATTAGCTAATTAGCTGAGTCTGCTGAAGCATGCTAATTAGCACACTTCAGCAGCCTCTGCATCATGTGTATTCAGCATCCCTGCATTTCAAAATGGCAGCAGGGGCGCTTTAACTAAAGCTCATCAAACAAGCTTTAGTTAAAGCACCCTTACCACCATTTTGAAGCACGGGATGTTGAATACATATGATGCTTTCAGAGCTGCTCTAAGTAAAGTGCCCCACTACCCTCCACCCTGGAGCACGTGTATAGACACCCCAGAAGTCTAATGGCATACTGAGCTGCATTAGTAGGAGTGTTGTCAGCAGATCGAGGGAAGTGATTGCTCCCCTCTATTTGGCACTGGTGAGGCCACATCTGGAGTACTGTGTCCGGTTTTGGGCCCCCCACTGTAGAAAGGATGTGGACAAGTTGGAGAATCCAGAAGAGGGCAACAAAAATGGTTTGGAAGCTGGGGCATATGACTTGTGAAGAGAGGCTGAGGGAACTGGGCTTATTTAGTCTAGAGAAGAGAATACTGAGCAGGGATTTAACAGCAGCCTTCAACTACCTGCAGGGGGGTTCCAAAGAGGATGGAGCTGGCCTGTTCTCAGTGGTGGCAGATGAGAGAACAAAGAGCAATGGGCTCAAGTTGTAGCAAAGCAAGTTTAGGTTGGAGATTAGGAAAAACTCTCTCACTGGGAAGGTAGTAAAACACTGGGACAGGTCACCCGGAGAGGTTGTGGCATCTCCACGCTTGGGGGTTTTGAAGACCCAACCAGACAAAGCCTTGGCTGGGATGATTTAGTTGGGAATGATTCTGCTTTGAGCAAGGGGTTGGACTGATGATCTTCTGAGGTCCCTTCCAACCCACATTTTCTATGGTTTTATGACATCAAGTACTGGTGTGGCAGACCTGGGGATTTCTGCAAGACACTTCTGAGCAACTGCCTGCCATTTTTTGTGTCTGCTGTATTCAGCAAAATAAGAAAGTAATAAATCATAATTTTTGGTAAATAAATAGTATTACATCTGGAATATGTGTGATTTGTATCACTAATTTCCCATCCTCAGGGAAACAATCCTGGAAAAAACAAAAACTTGACTTTTAATTGCTCAAACCACAGGGGCAACAATACTGAGTGCAGTTTTCAGCAGTGTTTGCTTGGTCAGTTGAAGAAGCACTTTTTTCCACCTCTAGGAGCTGAACAAAATCCCTGTTTCTGGACCTGTAGTAGGTGCTTTGAAGAGAGGGAAGTGAGGACATGACATTTTTGGACACCTGAAAGATGCCAACATTTGAAATAACTTTTTGTTGGCATATGTTGGAATATATGTGGAAAATAAATTTAAAATAATACACATTACATTGTATTCCCAAAGTACTTTTTAACTGAAGTCCTAAAACCAATGAAGTGGAACTCTTCATATTAGACAATTTTCACCTGTCTTTTTTGAATGTAATGTGCAGCATGCTTGTGCTGTACTAGTATTCAGGATAGTATTATCTGTATAAGTTTTATAGAGCAAGATGTTCCAGTTTAGTATTGCTTTGTAGCTGTTAAGCAAAGAAAGCAGGGGGAGACGAAGGAGAGAGAGTTGTGGAGAAGTAGGAACATAGGCATTGTTTTACTAAATCAAACCAATCTTGTCAGCTAATCTCATGGTACCAAGTGCTTCAGAGAAAGGGGTAAGAAACCCGCTCAAACTGTCATGGAATATACCCACAAAAGTGAAGTATCTTTCAAACATGTCAGTTAATCGTTGAGGTATGTTCCAAAAAATGGGTGTAGTCACATTCCTGATAAATCCTAGACTTCAGTGCAGAGAAGCCAATTGGGGTAACATCAGGTTAAGAGGATGAGAAAAAGAAAATAATCTTAACACTGATATTTACTTCTTTTTCTACTGAGAACTACATGGGTTACAAAGTGTCTTTCAAACTACTAAATCACAATTATTTGCACTGAATATGCTTCTTGTTCCTTTACAAAACAGCAGAATACGCATTTAAAAATCAGAGAGGGAAGCCTATTTATTTGAGTTTTTCTTGTGATTAGTGTTCAGCTGGCATGTTAATAGTTTTTTTCTTAAAATCCTAGGGTGGGAAGCAGTGATATGTCTGTTTGGATAGCAGTGATATGTCTGTTTGGATAGGAAATAAAGAATTTTAGATACTGTGATCAAAGCAGCATGTCTTAGCTATGGTGTGTATGTGAGGAGAGGAGGATATGGAAGAATCACAGGTAACCGGGGTTGCAGACTCAGATGAAAGGAACAATTAAGGTGTTACCAACAGTACTGGAAATCCATGGAGAAAGAGGAAACATTTGGAATATAATTTTTGTTGCGTTGTGTTTGAGAGGGTGATGAGCCATCCATAACAAAATGAAGAAAGAAAAGGATGAGAGATTGAATGGGGAATGAGAAGTATTTCTCCACACTTGACCTGAGATGATTGGCATAGAGAAGCATTGTAAACCCAAGCACATACATGCAGTCTCCCCATGACAGAGCGTAGATAAGAGAAGAGGGAAGTATTCTAGTACAAAACTACAGGACCTAGTATACAGGAAAGGGACATGGGTGGAGAAGAATCTTCTGAAACAGACACTGAAAGATCATTCAGAAAGGTAGGAGGAAAACTAGGAGAAGATGATATGAGAGCCAGTGAAGAATAAAATCTCCATTAGAAGGAAGCAATTAACAACATTAGAAAGAAATGGAAAAGGTGAAGGAAAATCAGAATAAAGGCATGGGCACTTGATCAAGAAAAGACCACTGAGGGCTTTGATGAAGAGGACAGAAACCTAATCCGGGTGGATCCGTGAGTTAGCAGAAGACAATGCAACCACGGTAAACAACTTTCTCTAGGTGCTTTGAGGAAAAGCCTTATTCATGGTCTGGCAGAGTCCCCAGGAGAAAGCATTTCAATCAACTAAGTTACTTCGGAAAGGAACAATCCTGTAAAATTGGCAGAATATCAATTTACATTAAAGTTCAATCTGCCAGGACTATGGTTTTCTTCCTGAAAAGAATGATGTGTGATGTTAATCTTTTTCTTTCCATACTAGGTGGGAAAGGCACAGAATAGCTTTCAGGCAAGGAAAAAAATAAACAATTAGGACCATTACAATTAAGAAAAGAAACAAAGAATGGACATAAAGAAGTATGTAAATAATAAATGATTATCTGGCACTTCCATTTATGCTGTCTTACAACACAAAAATATGAAAACAACAAATGAAAATAGAGGCAACAAATATAAAATTGATAGTTTTTTAAATACAAAACATAATTGACCTGTAGAACTCATTGCCAGGAGTTAGAGCTCCAAGGCTTAATATGATATAAAATAGCTAAAATAAAATCTAATTACATAAGCTAACATAAAAACATATAAAGCTATAGAAACCATAGTCTGTGAGGGTGCAGCCAGCAACTAGTTTTCTGCATGTAGAAATAAATGTTCTCTATCTGAACAAGTTATTGCATAACTGGCCACTACAGAAATGTTTCATCTTTTTCTGAAGCATCTGGTCCTGAATACTCTTGAACATAGTCCTTTTAATCATATCATTGGACTCAATGGCATGGGGGGGGCCCTTGTAGTCCTATGTTCCTATATTCTATTTGATCGAGACTCTCAAAGCCAAAACCCATTCTGTACATATCTGTACAGTAGGCAATGTCTACCATAGATTGTAGCCCAAAATCCGCTGTGAGTCCTAAAGCTCTCTCTCCCAACGGTATTCTGTGGCAATGGGCACTGCTACAGACTGCTGAGTGCAAACTGCTAGTTTACAGATAGGGAGCAAAATGTATGCTAAATTAGGTCTCAGCAAACCATGCCTCAAGTAGTTTGCCATCTGTAGAAGCCTTTGGCACGTCTTTATATATGTTCCTTTTTTCTATTTTAAAGTTAGTTAAGGTTGTTCATGGAACATTTTGAATGTTTCTAACCGTAGTGAGTTATGAGTGTTTAACAGCAACAGAAGGCCTCTGCTGGGCTTCCTCCCTCTCTCAACCATTAGGGGGGATTGGTTAAGGTAAAAAGTTTCAAGTGACTTTTGTGCAAGATGTTCAGTTAAGCTCGCTGTATGGGCTGCTGATGAAGAGAGACGTAAAACATACTTATAGGCAATAACAAAAGGAAGTATTGACTGGAAAGGTTCTTTGTCTTTCTTCTCCTTTTAGAGCCGACCTTAGGCTATCTCATCCTGCTATCTAAAGAAAAATGGATGAGATGTGTACTAGAGCAGTGGTTCTCAACCTTTTTTGTACCGGAACCCACTTGTAACATCAATGCCTGTCCTGATCTGCTGCCCTCCAACCCCAGGCCCCATCTCCCCAATGCATGGGACAGGGTGCGTGTGTGGAGCACAGAGGGCCCCAAGCAGCTCCATGCAGGCTGGAACTCTGCCAGTCTGCAAGGGAAAGCCACCATTTTCCCACATTTTTCTCCTTTAAAGGATAATCCATTTTTAAAGTTCGTTCACAACCCTTTCATATATTCTTGCAATCCACTTTTAGGTCATGACCCAAGGATTGGGAAACACTACTCTAAAGGCAGTTAACACTGTTTTAAGGCAAACGAAGAGGAGAGGAAGAAGAACTCCCTAAAGAGGGATAGGCAATCTGTGGCCTGTGGGCCAGAGCTGGCACATGGCAAGTGGAAATCTGCAACATGAAATGGCATGAGCACATTCTCTGCCCTGCACCACGCATTCCTCTGCCATGTGCAGGCAATCCCCTACACAGCATGTAGCAGGCAGTGGCCCCAGCCGTCCCTGCTCTATAAAAAGGGTTACTCTCTTGCTCCACTACGGCAACCTTTGCTTACCCTTACCACTGAATTTGCTTCTCCCCATCGCTATTGACAAGAAAATCAGCAGCACTGAGTTGATAGGATATGTGGAGGCTGCAAGGGTGGGGGGAAGCATAAGAGCTGCCCTCAGCACAGAGCAGAGAGAGCTGGGTGCTGCAGAAGAGATTGGTCCCAGCAGTAGCCTGGCTGCCAGTCTTAAAAATTGTGGACCCTATGATGCTATTGAACTGTATTCAGCCCCTGCCAGCAGGGTGAGCTTATTTACCAAGGAGGTGATCTCCAGTAAGGTAACATTTGGGTTTTCTTAACAGATGCTGTGGCTAGGGATTGGCATCTGTGAAAGAAAATGCCACTCTTTCAGGTAATTCTGATACAAAATAAAACTTGTGCAAATTTACATAAGTGGAATTTGCATACCAGTTTTGGACTATAAATGGGCACCTATCTAGAAATGTGCATTAATTAATACAGATTGCAGCCAAGCATGCTTGTGCATGTGGTTCCAAGGGATAAAATCCTGAAACGTACTAACGGGGAAAAAATAAATGAACAAGACCAGTGGGGAGGAATACAGTTGAACTTTGTACCCACTGAAGTTAATAACAAGTTGACTGATTTCAACAAGGGCAGAATGAAAACTTTAGTAATCACATCCCATTTTCTTAAAAGTACCTAGCTCAAAGTTATTTCTGTTTGGATCAGATTAGATAAAAGTACACTAGCAATGTGGACTAGCTTCTCGTTTTCTGTACTGGTTAACTAAAAATGCACTTTATCAGCAAGGGGCTTGTTTTGTCTTAAAGGAACACTACTATCTTGTTGGCTCTAGTCATCCTTTCCATTCTAAATGATGTTCATGGTTTTTGGTGCATGCTGATACATAATGCAAACTGAGAAAGTTTAGAAAGAGAATAAAAGGGGCTCCTTGGTGGCATAATAGCTTTGGAAACATGTAACGTGATGAGGTCTTTTCCTTAAAACTTATCAATTCAAACTGAGTATAGGTAAATACAGATAAAAATATTCAATACAGAAACAGTTAGTTGGTATCAGTTCAGTTGCTAATTACTAGGCATACAAGCTATTTGGTTGTGCCACCACTGCCAGTAATTGAAAGAGGAGAAAGAAAGAAACTAGAATGAGGGCTGAAATACCATTTTATCCCAGAAGGTGTTTCCTTCAGAGTTCCTGGGAAGTTTGAATGCCATCGGTAGTGCTGTATCTGTTCTGTACATAACAATTGGTAGTCACATTGGCTTGGCATTTTAAGAAGTACAAATTATTTTTTTTATGGTTAGCAAAAGATCAGAAATGTTTGATAGAAGAAACAGTATTCCCACTTTCCAGAGTGAATAAAACATTTAGTATTATTATGGAATGATATGTCTCAGCAATTACTTGATTTGTGGTGCATTGAATAGGAATATTGTTCATGTGTTTATTTTCTAGTAAAGAAAGCTTTCCTGAATGAATGGTCTGCTAAAGTTTTTCCTTATTAGAATAAAATTAACAAGAAAGTGCTTTTCCAGATGTTTGTGCTATAGCATCCAAAACATTTTATATACATTATTACTGAATGCTCTACCTGGCTCCTCTAAACTCAATATGAAGACTTAATTAAAATGCATGGAAGATTATCCTCATTTTGGGATTCTGAAAAAGGGTGTTGTTTATATGCTACACCAAGTTACCTCTTTTACACTTTGTTGTCACCAGGTGACATGGCATATAAAAAAACCCAAACCTCTAAATGTTTTAAAATTTGGGTAATTTACAATAATTTTCTGAGATTTATTTTAAATTATTTAAACCCTCCCACCTCCCACCCAACCATTGATGAAAGGACTCATTGCCTATTATAAAAAAACTATCAGTGTAGTAGTTCAGTTCCTTTGCTCATCCATTATTCCATCTTGGGATGTATTCTCTCTCATGAAGCAAAATATTGGTACTTTGAATAACAAAATTCAGAATGGACTCAATGGCATGTCCATAGCTGCATGCAATTAGGATGAGTTCATAACAAGCCAACAGATTTTTGGATGTTAAAGACTGGCTGGTTGGGTGCTTATGGTCAAGACACAGGAATTCAATGTGAAGAGACTTACTCTTCGTTTCACTCATAACTACCTAATATTTGGCTTGACTTCCTTTTCTTCTGGTTCATCTTCACTGTCATCAACCTGTTGAATGACCAAGTCAGTGGACCCATCCTCCACAATCTCCACATCAGATCTGTTGTCTTCACCATAGTGCCACCTGGAATCCTTATCCCCTTCTTGTGGAAATTCTAGTGATGGTTCAGCCTCCAAGTCAATGCGGATGCTGTCTATGCCAGCTTCTGCTAGACACTCATTACACAGTCTGTAACGTCTTGTTCCCTCTTGGACCACTTGTCCTGTCAGCTCAGTCACATGGCGTTTACACTTTCTGCAGATTGGCTTGCACGCCTGATGAATCTGTGAAGATTGAAATGAATAAAAGCTGATGTTTTCCCCAAAAAGAGATGGATAATCAGACAAGTTGTGCTTTGTATTTTATACTTTTGGATTCAAATTTATAAATAAAATATTATGCCATGCTGATTTAATTTCTAAATAATCAGAAAAGAGGTTTCACAGCACAGCTAAAGCACCTGTGCCATGACTTAAAAATCAACACTACAGAACATTTGCCTTTTGAAAGCTTCTTCATAAACTGTAAGCCAAGAAGGAATTAAGTTCTATCTTTTGATATTTTGAATATTGTCTTTGAGGAATATGCCTGATTTGGAAAGTAAACTTAATATTAAAGAATCAACGTAATATAAACATTTTCTGCCCTTCTAGTGACTCTCCTACATATCTAGACTGCCATGAGGGGTCAAGTGAAAAGATTTAGATAGTCAGTGGGCACATCTACTTAAGATGCTAAATGCGCAGTAGACTAAGTTTACTACATATTAGCGCCATAGCAAAAGCTGTGCTTTTGCACTAATGTGCAGTAAAATTAATCTACTGTGCATTAGCATCACTTAAAAGACATGTGCCGGCACTACTACGCAGAAGCACGAGTTACTGCACCTTGAGACAGTGCCTATTATTACAGGTACAAAACTTAATGTGCAGTAACTACAGCACATTAATGCATGTGTAGACACACCCACTAAGTCTGGGCTTAGGGTTCACTTTAAGGTCAACATTTCCCATCCCTGTTGATATAACCAAAGTGTGATGAAAACCCAGATTGACCAAAAATTATCCCTGGAAGAAACTTATAAAGGATACAGGATTGATTCTTTAAACATCCATAACTATAATTTTACTTTCAGCATTCTTTTGCTGATATATATTTTCCATACTATAAGTATGAAGATGCCAAGTCTGTGTGGAAGACCATTAATTTTAGGTCTGAAATGAGGCAGGCCAACAATTCTCAATCCTTTTAGATTCCTGGCAGCCTGGTTAGACTCATAACAGCCATCAAAAAATGCTAGCTCTTAGCTTTCACTCAATTTTTTAGTATAGAACAGGGGTTGTCAACTGGGGGTACACCAGAGCACCGCTACCCACCACCCTACACCTATGCCTCCCAGGAGCAGGGCTGAGGTGGGGGGGATGAGGGCAGCAGTGCCCCTCTGCAGGCTGCACAGGTACTGCCCAGCCAGCCAGATGCCAGGTGGGGGGCCGGGGGGAAGTTTGTATGTGGTGGCAGTGGCCACCACCACTCACCACCCCATGCTGCAACCACTCCCCTCCCCCTGCTCCATGTCTGGCCGCCAGGGCTACACTTATTAAAAAAGGTTGAAAACCCCTGGTATAGAAAAACGTTAGGATCGTAGAAAGTAGGGCTGGAAGGGACTTCACGAGATCATCTAGTCCAGCCTGTTGCTTGAGGTAGGATCATCTGTGACTAAATGATCCCAGTCAAGTGTCTAACCTCTTGAAAATGTCCAGGTATGGAGATCCCTCTAGACAGCCTGTTCCAGTGCTTGACCACCCTCAGAATGAGAAAGGTCTTCCTAATCTCCAACTCAAATTTCCTCTGCTGCAGTTTGAGGCCATTACTTCTAGTCCTCTGTGGCTGTAGAGGACAGAAAAACTAATTTCTATCCCCTTATAGTTGCTCTTTGGGTATGTAAAGCCTGCTATCAAATTCCCCCTCAGTCTTCTTTTCTCCAGACTAAATCATCATAGTTCTTTCAGTCTTTCCTCATAAGTCATGTTTCCCAGGCCTCTAATATATTTTTTTACTCTGCACTAGACTCTTCTATGATGTTAATTTCTTTCTCGAAGTGTTGTGCCCAAAACTGGACACAGGACTCCAGGTGAGGCCTGACTAGTACCAAATAGAGTGAAAGAATCACTTCTCTTGATCTGCAAGAGACACTCCTTTGAATACAACCCAGTATGCTGTTGGCTGGGTTTTTTCAGGTTGGTTTGTTTGGTTTGCGTGCAACAACAGCACACTGTTCACTTATATTCAGCTTATGGTCCTTTGTAACCCCCAGGACTTTGTCTACAATACAGCAGCCTAGCCCATCTTTCCACAGTCTGTATCTGTTTATGTCATTATTCCATTCCAAGTGCAGGACTTTGTACTTGTCCTTGTTGAATTTCACCTGATTGATTTTTGACCATTTCTTCAGTTTATCCAGGTCATTCTGAATCCTGCCCTTACCTTCCAGAGTACCTGCAACTCCATACAACCTGATGTTATCTGCAAATTTGCTAAAGTGCACTCAGTGACACTGTCCAGATCATTAGTGAAGATGTTGAACAATTCCCAAGACAAACCCCTGGGAAACCCACCTTGATTCTTCTTTCCAAATAGACATTGAGTCATTGATGACTACTTGTTGAACACAGTGATCCAACCAGTTGTGGATCCACCTTAAAGTGCAATTTTCTGTTGCAAAGAACTAAAAAAAACTGCAATAGGGTTTATCTCATGAATCACATGGGTGTTTGCATACCTAACAACACTAATATAATTTGGCACCCTTAAAAGGTTCTCACTGAACCCTGGTTGAGGATCACTGCTCTCATTTACACCATAGTGAGAATCTGGGGGAGTGGAAGTGGGGGCAACTGGTCATTCTTCCTAGTCTTCAGTGCTACTATTACAATTTGCCAATGGCCTGTGTATTTATGTGCACATAAGCAGATAGCTATGGAAAAGTTTTAAGAGTCTAAGTTTTTGTACATTGTTGAAGCCTTTTCAATATACTGTTGTTACAATTGCTAAATGAAAAATAAGGCCCCAAGAAAGGCCTACAAAGCTACCATGACAAGTAAACAAATATATGGCGTTAATTCTGATTATGACACAACATTTAAACTATAGGTCAGAACTAATGTAAAATTTTCCAGAGATTATAGATTCCACTATGCTGTATCACTCTGAAAAATCTTACTTGTCTAGTCTATTTTTTTAATAGCTATTTCTCTCACTTTGCTTCTCCATCTGTATTTTGCTCACAAGTCACCACATGCAGCTGCAGCTCCTTCACTCTGCCACATGGCATAACTGCAGCTGCTTTATATCCCCCAGCCACCCTCTCCTACTTCTCTGTTGGCATACCTCTTCTCCATTCTCCAGTGCTCCTGCTCATCTCCCCACTCCCATCTATTTTACCTCCTTCCTGAAATTGTTCTTTAAAACAAATATTAAAAATGAGACAAAATTAAAACTTAAACTTGCTTGCAAGTCCACCTACTGACACATGGAAAAAATATTTATTTTTTCTTTTACTTTATGCACTGGCAGTATTTTGTGTACAGTCAGATTGTTTAGTCAGTTTGTTTCCTTATTTGCATGGATCTTTCACACAGTGGCAGGAAAGAGGAAAAAGTGATTTTTAAGACACAGCAAACTGGTAGGCACCAGAGAAGTTCCAGAAATTATTTTTAACTCATTTGAGGGACATTCACTCATCTACAAAGGGGCCAACAAGTTCTTTATACCAGATCTGAAATACTATATTGGACTTTCTGCATCCTTTAAACAAGGGTGGAACTCACTCCTTTTCAAAAGCATTACATTTCAAGTTGCCTTATCTTTAAACCTCTTAGAATACTATTCCATGTAAACTTTAAGAAAACTGGTATATTCACAGAATCATAGAAAATGAGGGTTGGAAGGGACCCCAGGAGGTCACATCTAGTCCAATCCCCTGCTCAGAACAGGACCAGCCCCAACTAGATCATCCCAGCCAAGACTTTGTCTACATTGGTCTTAAAAACCTCCCAGGATGGAGAGTCCACCACCTCTCTGGGTAACCTGTTCCAGTGCTTCACCACCTTCCTAGTGAGAAATTTCTTCCTATTCATACAAAGCAGACTAAACTTAAAATACCAGGCACCCATACCAAATTAAATTATTTTAACACATACAGATATATACACATTAAATTAAATCACGCACTCATTGTCTAAAATACATACTGTTCGAAAATGGCTACTTAGGTGATCTAGTCTGCTAAATCTTTTTCCACATGCCTCACATGGATAAGGTCGTTCTCCAGTATGGCAACGAAGATGCCGCTTTAGGTCTGCTTTTCGCTTCACCACATGGGTGCAGAATGGACATTTGAATCTCATCCTGGGCAGGTCATCTGTTGTAAAAAAAAAAGTATTTTATATATCTGAAAGAGTCATATATACAGTATTGTGACCAATTCTAGAAAGAAACACATTTCTACTGTAACAGTTATGCAAATTAAGAAAAACAAAAAAGCCAGCAGAGCTACAAGTCATTTTTCTTTAGAAGAAATAGTATCACCTATCTTTTTACTTTCACAGAACGTCAGAGTCCTCGCACATTAAATTAAAAGGAGCTCAGTAAAAGAAAAAGCAACTGATCATCACCTATGCTGAAACTGCTAAGATTCAAAATTGAAAATATTGACTGAACTGCCAAGATGAAGCTTACTGTATTTTGAATAGATAGACAGAAATCTATCTATCTATCTATCCCTAAAAAATAATAATAATTAAAAAATATATATAAAGTTAGGCATATTTTCCAGTCATTAGTTCAGAGTATTATATCTATTCTCCATTGAAACTTTGGTAGAAATAGAAGAGAGAGATACAAATAGCTAATTCGTACCATCAGCCCAGCCTCCCATTACACCTAAAATTGAGGGTATGTTGGCATATTGCTCGTCTGCTTTTGAAGACTTTGACTTGCTAGAAGAACGGGGCGATTCATGCTCTTGCTGCGACACAGCTAAACTCCTTGGCAGCACATCAGATCCTTGACCATACTGGTACCCAACATGGGGAGATTCAACTTCTGCTTCAATTTGAACTTGCTCTTCAGATGGAGACATGTGGCTTGTAGGCTCTGAAGCTCGGTCTTCGAGCTTACTCGATTTATAGTGGGGAATGTCAGAAGGCTGTTGCAGTCCTAGGTGTCTGGGCTTTTTAATGGAATCCTGCCTTTGGTCATGTTTGGCCAGTTGCTGCTGTGTACTTCGAGAAGATGGATAGTAGGTGAAACTGCTCCATGTATTTCCACCCATCATACAAGACCCTTGCTCTGGACTTAGGTGAGAATGAGGGGGGCTGCTTTCCGCCCTCCAGCCAGCACCATACAAGCAGGAGCGCTCCACACCATTTGAATTTACATCTTTGTCTGACAGGCTGAAATAGCGATCCTTCTCTTTCTCACTGATGTCCAATGATGACTTAATGAATGTCTTACAAACACTAATAACATCAGTCATCTGAAGATAGCTGGCAGCTGACATGACTTCGATGACATTTTGACCAGTGAGAGAGAGTTTGCCTGAATAAACAAAATCTAGAATAACGGTAAAAGTGTCAGGAGAAAATGCCTGGAAGGTAGCAGTTGTTGGCTGACTAGTCTCCTTTGAGCTCTGGGAAAGGAGCATTTTGAAATAGCCGCTACTGGCAAACAGCACATTTCGATGTGCTTTGAAAACCTTCCCCTCAACCAGGATATTGCAGTCGCAGAACAGGTCTTGCCTGCGTTGCTCATTGAGTTGCTCCAGGAGATGAAACTGGTGGGAAGAAATCTCCATCCCAAAGCGATAAATGGGAAGTGCAGCTCTAAAAACAGAGAACAACAACAATCTTGACTTTGACACTGTTGTAGATGGAAACAAAAGCTGCTAAACCCAGGTTCAAAAACTAAGGTCCTTTAAAAAAAAATTATACATGGGACACAGCATATACCATCTGTTTTGAAAGGAAGAGACAACTTGCAACAGTGTAGCGGTAGAAGAGGAAGAAACATGTCAGTAAATACTACATCTTAGCCCAACTTAAGGTACTGCAGAAAGCTCTCCCGTGTCTATACTAACCATACAATTATCCAATAAAAGATGTCGCCCCCCAGCACGTGTGTGCTGCACCATCAGGGCCCCCTCCCTGCCAGCACAACACGGCCCAGTCCCTGTCTAAAAGCCCAAAGGACTCGGTGCCGGCTCTACACCGCCCTTGAAACTCAGCACGGAGGAGGAACCAGGCCCGCAGCAGTTATGGACACCATGGAGCAAGAGCCTGTGTTGCGAGCTAACGTTACCTGGCTGCCTTGGTCCAGCCATGGGCGCACACATCTTCAGAGGGACCGAGGAGCGACCAGGGAAGGAGACAGCGGCAGGAGCCCGAGCGGCAGCGGGGCCGCCCCCTCCCCGCGCCATTGGCGG